TAGTGGGAATTTATAGAGACCATTATAAATGAGATTATAAATTCCCAGACACTGGAAATTTATACGTCTACATTTTTTTTTTAAATTGCAGCCCAATAACATCGGCCAAACGGCATCTGTCTGTGGCCGTTTCTTTAGAGGTTTGACTGTATATGTGTATATATATACTTTCATTAGTTTCTTCTTATAAAAGACAAACTAAAACTATATATTTTAGGTCTATTTTTCTAAAATCGTAATATATTTTGAAAAATGAAATTTAGGCTATAAGATATAAATGTAGATTAGATTGACTATTGAAGAAGTAGACTGTTAAAATTAAATAAATTTTAAATAATTGCTTTTTAATATAGTGTACATAGAAAAAATTTCATTTTAAACAAAGATAAAAAATACAGTGGGCTATGCTATTTGCTAAGCTTTTTACGCGAAACTATTACAAAAACTTTTACAGAAAAAATTTAGATCTTTTGAGGACAAAGGGATTCGAATGATAAACTTACTTTTTTTTTTCTATTTAAAAGAAACCATTAAATCGAAATCGATTAAATGTAAGAAACTGTAATAATTTGATTCTGAAGAAATCAGGAATAAAATTGATTTCAGTAAACAGTTTCGTATAAGCCAATCACAAAAGATCTCTCAAGTTTTTAATTGTAACTTAAATAAACTGAGTTTGCTGTATACAATTTTCATTCCATTCTTCCTTTATCTGTCTTTTGCATACAGGAATTTATTAAATTTACATAAAGAAAATACTTACAGTAACAAAATCTGTACGTGTAGAAAAAAATATAATAATATTTGATAAAATTGAATAAATAAAGTAAAATTATTTATTTTCTATTCTATAATAAAATTTTCCAGTTATTTGATATTGTCAAATATTTTATTTTATATTCAAAAATTTTGTAATTCGCACTTTATTTAAAATAAAACATTTTAAATAAGATTGGTTTTGAATATGTATAATGCATTATTAATACAAGGCTATATAATTATAGTTTATAGCATTTATTCACAATTTTAATTATTAATAATTAATATTCTTCTATATAAAACATATTAAATTGACATCATATTAAAAGGATAATCTACATGCATATTTTAAATGTTAGGTAAATGTAATTTGTGTTTTTGTCATTTACGTTAAATATATTATGATTAATGATAATTAACTGTAATAAAAATTTATATACTGTATTATTACACAAGTAAATGTTACTATAAACTCTATAGTTTATTTTTTACAGAAGTATTATACCAATAAAGTACTTTGATAAATGTAATTTGATGTCATCATTATTTGGATTTTCTAGTAAATGAAGATTAAATATAGTAAATTTAAACTTTAAAATATATTACATAATACAGATTCTATTTTAATTTTTAATTGAATTTTACATATGTTTGTAGAGTATTGTTTGAATAAATTATATAAATATTTTAACATTTTACGATATAATAATAAGCGATAAACTTTAATCCATTGATTTTTATCTTAAAAAATTTAATTTTTCTGCATTATCATATTTTTAAGAATGTTTGTTTTTTTTTAAGTTAAAACATTTTTCTGTGTTAAATCATTTAAAATTAAAAAAATAATTCTGAAAACAGTATTAACACAAAAAAATATGTACATTTTTTGTTGGTTACTTTATGTTTTTATTGTGAGAGAGAAGTACTACAGCTGGTAAAATTATTTTTATCTAAGATCCAATAAAAATAATTTATATAAAAGTTTAAAATATAAGTGAAAATTTAACGTTCTTATAAACACTAAAATCTGCCAACGTGGAATTCACATTACTGATTCATAAATTGTTGATGCTACACAAAATATATTATTAAAATGTTGCCAAAGAATCATTATTATGAAGTATTTTTAATTCAATATCTTATTAAGAGAAAAAGAGGGGAAAAAATACAGATTTACCCTGCAGTTAATTCTGTGATTTGGAATTAAAACAAATATTTTATTCTAATTTAGTTAAAGAATCATTTAATTATCAATAAAAGTTATATCGAATTCACATTACTGATTCATAAATTGTTGATGCTACACAAAATATATTATTAAAATGTTGCCAAAGAATCATTATTATGAAGTATTTTTAATTCAATATCTTATTAAGAGAAAAAGAGGGGAAAAAATACAGATTTACCCTGCAGTTAATTCTGTGATTTGGAATTAAAACAAATATTTTATTCTAATTTAGTTAAAGAATCATTTAATTATCAATAAAAGTTATATCGAAATTGCACTTGGTGAATTCACATTAATTATACTTTTTTAAATTAAATTTCTTTATGGTTATTATATAATTTTTATATATGAGCATAAAAATATATTCATTAACTTTCGGATTATTAATAAATATTAGAAGGAATTTACGATCGGTAGGTAATTATTCGGGTTCGTTATTGATTAAAAAATATCGAAGAAATTATTCTCTAAGGTGGCAGTAAATTGCTTGATTACCGAAACTTTTCAAGCAAAAATTATCCAATGTAATCATGTTAGATGTTAGATTCGAAAAATTCATTTAAGATTTATGATATATAATTTATTTTATCATTTTAATCAATTTTTTATTTAAAATATTCATTTATAAAAATATAATTTATTTTAATCTTACAGTTTGAATCTTTCTAGAAAATTATCTTTATCAGAAAATTTAATAAATTCTAACTTTTAATAATTAAGATATAAAAACTAATTTTATAATATATTTAAATTTTGTTCAAAATATTTAATAATTCATAAAACATTTTAATATTTAAAAAAAAAATTAGCCTTATAAAAACACTATTCAATAACACATGAAAACTATAAATAACTAGTAATTGGTGTAAGTTAATTAAATCGGAAAATATTGCTATTAATTTTATTAATGCATTTAAAAAAATAAATGAGAACAATTTAATATCAAAAGGAAAATAAATACATATGTCGGTTTAATTGAGCTTACAGCGAAACACGATAATATTAAGTAAATAGAAGGTTTCGCATTATTTTACTTGCTGCGAAGAATTCTTATATGCCACATCGCTTATCGAATAAAAGCGTGTTTATCTGAGGTATTCAGAACTCGTTGCTTGTAAGTCTACAAGGAACGGTATTGAAGAAGAAGAAAAAAAAGGTATATCGAAGTTATCTACGTTGTTACACATCTAAATAAATTGGCAGAATAGTAAGTAGAATTTCAATCTTGATAATAGATAAACAACTGATAGAATTTTAATTATTTATTTTTAAAAAAAATGTTAAAAATCATTTAATCGCCTTTATAAAATATCTAATAAAATTTCAAATTTAAAAAATAATTTTATAATGTAATTTTATTAGTCTACTTAATGCAAGTGTTTAAGTAAACTTAGTAATTTATTGATTTAAAAAGACGTTAAATTTATTTATTTTTTCCTCATTATTTTATTGCGTAAATAATTTCGTAAATTACGTGATATAATCAAAACGTCGATCGTAATAATATCGAGTAAAAGCGAATGAATGAAAGTCACGTGACTATATTTTCATTATTCGCCACCAGAAGGCATTACGGCGCTTCGTATTTTATTTCAGTCTATCATCTACCGACTAAGAAGGAAGCGGCTCGCGGAAACATTAAGAAGTTCAGAAGTAAGTGGTTATTGACTTAATTATACTGTTTTAATGTATAAATGTAGTAAATAAATCGTATAAATATCATTTTACTATTATATTTAATACTTCGCTTTAGTTACGATTTAATTTTATCGTTGAAGTTTGTTACGTAATCTAATTAAATATTATAAACTATGAAAAACTTATAATAATTTGAAAATAGATAAAATATTTT